TTACAATATTATATTTTATATAATTATGTATTAGTATATACTTACAAATTATTATGTAACTATATATTATATATACGTATATTATATGTAAATATATTTATTAGTATATACTTACAAATTATTATGTAACTATATATTATATATACGTATATTATATGTAAATATATTTTATATATTTATAAGTTATGACTTGAGAGAGAGAGAATCGCATAAGTAGTCGTTGCCTGTTGGGCCAATGAGGAAGAAGTAGCCGTTGTAATATACTATACTTATATATACTTATATACTAAGAGAGAGTATACACACACACACACACACACACACATATTATACATATATAAGAGAGAGTATACTTATATAAGAGGGAGTATACATATATAAGAGAGAGTATACTTATATATATATATATACTAAGAAAGAGAGTATATATATATACACACACATATATTATACATATATAAGAGAGTGTATACTTATGTATACTTATATAAGAGAGAGCATACATATATAAGAGAGAGTATACTTATATATACATATATACTAAGAGAGAGAGTATATATATACATACATACATATATTATACATATATAAGAAAGAGTATTCTTATATCTACTTCTTTATTACTAAAGGAGAACAACAAAACAGCTAATATGAACAGTAACTTTATAAACAATGAAAAAATTAAATGATTAACCAACCCACGTTCTCCCACGTTTCCCCAATCTCCGGTGCGGTTTTCCCTTTCCCCATTTTCTTTAAATCTCCACTTCGTCTTCTTCAACTTCAGACATCGCGTTCTGCCTTGAGAACTCAAGCTCCGTTGTGGTTTCCCCTTTCCCCATTTCATCTTCTTCCCTCTTCAACAAATTCCCATATCATCTTCTTCCCTCTTCAACAATCCTGACCTCAATCACATTAGCATCATACTTTGGCTATTATCGACTCAAACCCTAGCAGATCCTACGTCTTCATCATCGACTCAAACCCGAGTAGATCCCAAGTCTCCAACCTTGCCGTCGCCCCTTCTAATTCCTCTTCCTTAACCAGCGAATTGGAGAAATTTAACAAGGTTTATCCTTTGTTCCTTATTTTGTTACGAATCCCTAGAATTTTGCAAATTCTTTTTTTTTTGAAATTGGGATCTGCTCGGGTTATTTGTTTCTTTTTGGTAGTTTTCCCATTTCAACCGCCATTTGATTATGGTCCTCTTTCTTTGTCACTTATTCAAGCGTGGTTAGCTGTTTTTTCTATTGATTTTTACATTTTATTTTTCTCAAACTTGCTTCGTTGTTGAACTGAATAATCAAATGCTTACTTTTCTAATTTGTTCCATCATGTTCAGATTGAATGTTCTTTCACTTGAAATTGAGATTGTATTTTAAAACAGGGAAAACTTATCCTACTTTGTTGAATGTATTGACATTACTTTACTAATTAATTTAACCATATCACTTAAAAGATTTTTTATTTAATGATTTTCCTGAGCGCAAATGTTTAAAAGGAAAAAACATTTAACGTTAGCATTTGTCATTATTTTCTATTATACCATTTCATTTGTGTTTAGTTATTAAGGTATTCTAGGTATAACCGTATAAGCGGTGTTTGAGTAGAAATTAGATTGTTAATTATCTTTCCAGGTCGGAGCTAAAAAACCACACTGTAATCATGAGAATTTCTTTTGTTCTTTTTTATTACTGTAAATAGGATAGTGAACTCTAAATTTTGATTGCATCGCATAATCTACCAAAGAAAGTGGTTTTCGATAAAAGTAAACAGCGTGTTATGGCCTTTAACTTCTATACAAGCTCTTTAAATCAAATGGATTAGAATTAAATTTATAATTTATTAGGTGTGATATTTTGGGATTTATGACTTAGAATTGGTTGAGCAATTTCACTTCATCTAAACTAGGCCTGCATCAATAGTTGGTTGAGCAATTTCACTTCATCTAAACTAGGCCTGCATCAATAGTTGTAATGTAAAGCACTATTCATTATCATTTAAAGTTTGTTCATGGCCACCAGGCTTTTGTTTTTTATGTGTTTACAGAACTTCATTAAATATTTATTGTTAATTTGATCATTCATTACATTATTTTTTTAATCGTAGAACTATTATAAACTTTTGACATTTATACATAAAATTTTCAGGTATCTAATTTTTGAGCTTGCATCAACATCAACTTTATGGATCATCACGAAGAACTCTATTTTTGTACCATGTTCCTTTAATGAATTGCTTGAATGAACCTCATTACATCCAAATTCATTTAACTATAAAAACAAGAATACTGAATAAAGAGATTTAGATAAAAACCAATACAAAAATGCACCTTCTATTAGTTCACTTATATGTAACTATATAAAAGTTGATATCATGACGTAGTCTTATCTTTAATTAAACGTTTATTTCACAAAGTCATGAGAAGTACCATACATTATAACATCGGTTCTTCATAATCTAAAGCGTATCCACCCACGACCAAATGAACACGCAATTGAAAAGAAAGACAACATACATTAAAATCCCTAAATTATTTCTTCTATAAAATTTTCTAGAATAGTTATTGAATGTCATTTGTAGTAACCCACTTGGTAATGTACTAATGTCTGTAATTCTGTGAGATTAATTGTTAGGGGAACTTATGAGTCCAAGTGAAATGGTTATTTAAGATGCCAATAATAAATGATACGGACATCTTTATCATAGTTTATGTGCAATGATAATGCATATCATTATAAAAAAAAAATCCTTTTTTCTTTATTTCAGTCCTGGATTAATCCAAACAATAACCAAAATGACCCTTGAATCTTTTTCTTATGGAAAAAAATTTAGCAAAACAATCCTTGATAATGTGCCAGATGCAATGTTGTTGGATTAAGGGCTATTCTTTATCGCGGATCAGTTAAGGGAGTCACTGTTCATAAAGCACTGTGTAGCATTCTCTCTATATGTTAGTAGCATTAGCTTCATCCGTATCATGAAGTAGTTTTTGCCAACAACCTGTAGCATGAAAGCCTCTTCCTCATTATTTGCTATTGAGCGTGATAAGAATAAACACTGTTATTTGTGTTCCAATATTTATGTTCTATATGGTTTTCTGGTATCAATCTCAGTAATTATGATTTGGTTGTTTTCTTCTTTTTTCCTTTATCTTTGATATACCAATTATTTGTTGTGGATCCTTAAGGATTAAAGTGCTTGAGCATCCCAGTTGATAGACTTTGGTGTCTTGGACCCTTTTAAGGGTTGAGGTGCATGAACAAAACATTCATGAACTCAATGATGTTTTTGGTTATTGCTATTTCTACAAGACTGCTTGCTTCTCCTTAAGAGCATTTAACGCTTAAGAGTCCATGAGTCACGAGAAGTATCATACATTGTAACACCATTCAGTATTCATCAA